GTATATATATATATTTTTTTTTTTGTTTATAATATTAAGTGTTGCTTAATTTGAATATATAGTGCTTCACAATAATTCTTCGAATGTAGCGCTTCTCGTGGAGAATAACGGTATCACATCGGCATCTACGTTCGAACGTATGTTGCTTAGTGAAATACCTTATTTCTCATCTACTGGTAATGCTCTTTTTCTTTACATTATTTTTATTATTGCATGATAGAATTTTATATTTAAGATATCTGATATAGCAACTTTGTGAGAGAGACACTACGATAATTTCTTACTGATTTATATATATTTATATTCTTATCATTGACGTTACCTTCTATCGCCATCTTTCTTTTTCTCTTCATTCTTTGAAATTTTCTATCTTTTCGAATTTATTTTAGTATCATAAATTCTAGAATACACACGGCAAAATTAAGATAAAAAATGTTTTTTTATAAATCTAGGAATTAATTTCATGGTGCTCTCAAATGGTCACCCATCCTAAGATATATCCATCCCATCTAGCGTTACTTGACTTTTGCGATCGTGTGGAAACTACTGCTACTTCAATATCCATGAACACTGAATGTTAACAATTGTATAACTGGAAGAAATATATTTATATGTATTTCTTACGATTCAGTCAGAAACATTTTTTATACATTATACCAATCCATGTATAATCATTGTATACATAAATTAATATTTTTCCTGAATTATATATAATTATATTTCTGTTGCAACTTTGTTTAACAGGATATTGATGTAATAATGATTATATTAATATCCTGTCAATATATAATGATTTGTCGATGTCTCGTGAATCATTTGTTTGTATACAGTGTAAGTTATATTTGATCAGTAAAATAGAACAAGCATTCAACATCCTCTAAATAGACTCCTAAGTATATGTATGTGCACGTGATGTAGGTAGATATATTTATATGTGCATATATTCGTGAGCACGCACATGGATTTGAAATCTCTACTTCTTATCACGTGATCAATTTAGTTCGTTCAGAGTCCTATGACAGGCGGCGCTTGTTGCAAATTTTTTCAAGAGGGGATTTGAAGTAGTTTGGATTCTGATTGCATGCAATAATTCCTACGATGGCGGAGGGGCCAGAGTTAAGTTTTTTCGATTTGCGAACGGTACATGATCATTTTGATCAAGCTCTCGTGGAAAATGACGATATTGATCTAAAAGCATATCTGGAGGCCTACAATGAACTATATAAGTAAGTTGGACTGCTGACTTGTCATAAAAACATAACCTTATCATACACAGATGTCAAATTATTCTTCTGATTTATTACGGTTGACGTTTGATGAGCAATCTTAAAACATCTTTGCAACATATAAAACAAATAATTGAAGGCAAATAATAACTCGAAGAAGCAGATTAAATAATTCTTTATAATATTATATTAAAAATATTTACA